AATTTTTGCGAGGTTAGAAAATTACTAATATTTATAGAAAAAACAACACTTAAGTATACAACACTCATTCCATAACCTTTTTTGAATTATAGATTAGATTTTATGTTTCAAACAGTGTAGTTGGTATTTATGGATTCTCAAAGCTAACTAAAAATCATCGTACACCTACTAAAATGATAATAACTAGAAAACAACTTAATTCACAAAAATATAAATCTATCCAAAACGGTTCTTGAAATTTCAAAATCGCTCTACACATTTTGGGTATTCTTTATTTTGACATTCTAACTACCAATAGTGAAACTAAAAAAACATAATTAACATGGCTCACCGTATAGTCAGCCGAGTATAAATCGATGTTCTGTTTTGTCGAAATTTTTTACAGATTTTGGAATACTCTGTCGGGGTCTGTGGGTATCACATGTATGACCACATAAACGTGTAAGATCAAACTTTTTTTGTGTTTGAAATTACCTATTCAGGAGTCACTTATCATTTTTGTAAGGGAGAATTCCATATATACCCTTATTAAACGTCTAAATATCGTATTTGTCCGACCTAAACTTTAAATATCATATTTGTCCTTCTTAATGTTTTAGAATATTGGATTTGCCCAAATCTATTTTTTAAGTATTTTTTATTATTTAATAATCCTTTTTTAAAATTTAAAATCATTAAAATTGAAAGTATAACTAAATAGACAATAATACCCTTACCTTCTAAATCTCATGAATGCATTTACAGGTCTTTTGTTTGTGTTGGCTCTCCAAGGAGGCATCCCATTGTCTTTACTTGACTATATCTCCTCACGATTGTTTTTCTGTGCTGTTAAATGGTTTTTTCCACCCTGGTTGATTTTGTAACATTCGGATTTTACCAGGTATCTTGTAAATCTAATTTTTGTTGTTTTGTGAGAGGGGACTCGGCGAGTTGGAGCTCAGACTCGCCGAGTAGGGACGCGAGTTTGGGCAATGGAGCGCGCCTGGACTCGGCGAGTCCAGGATATGGACTCGGCGAGTCTGTGCTGGGTAATGAAACCCTAAATCTCCGGGTTTGAGGCCTATTTAAAGGGCCTTATGGCCGTCATTTGTGCTCACCCAACCCCCAGAGAGTGTCCCTAGAGTTCTTGAGCGTTTTGTGAAGGGAAGAGAGCCAATCTTGATCTTGGGTGTGTTGTGTAGCAAGAAGAAGGAGGCCCTAGGCAAGAGGAAGCAAAGGAGGCTGCTATTTCGTGGGTTTGGAGCTTGGATCATCACTCTAGAGGTATTATTTTCGGACCATTCTCTGTTTGGTGAAGCTTGATGCAATTTAGGGTCTAATGTGGTCATTTATGGGGTGATTTGGTGCCCCTTTGGTTCCCTCTTTGAGTTGAACCATGGATCTGGATCCATAGAGGTCCAGAGGGCCTCACTCATCAAGCTTTATGGGTGGAAATGAAGCCCTTGACCTTGTGTTGAAGTATTTGAGTCAAAAACATCATTTGTGGCCATGTAGAGGTTATTTATGCATCAAGATTGTGACTTTACGTGCTAAATAAGCATGGAGGGACTGGATCTATGGATTAATGGACCGGATCTGACCTTTAGAGCAAGATTGAGTCAGTGCATGGCACGGACTCGCCGAGTCCGAAGAACAGACTCGGCGAGTAGCATGAATGTTGCCCGACCACTCAGCGGGTGCCCTCGCCGAGTTAGGAAAGGCGAACTCATTGAGTCAAGGGAGAGACAGGAAGGTCAGGTGGACCGAGTCAAACTGGACTCGCCGAGTTGTTCTTGAGACTCGGTGAGTTGAGTCGTGGTGGCCCCACCACTCGTGCCAGGTGGAGCTCGTCGAGTTGGGGGAGATGCTCGACGTGTCAAGGGAGGGTCCCAGGGAAATTGGTGCATGCGCACAGACTCGCCGAGTCGCCATAGTGCACTCGCCGAGTCCGGTCAAAGTCGACCATTGACCGTTGACCAGCGTTGACCAAGAGTGACTTGTTATAGTGTGGTCAACCCTAGTTGGGAAAGTGTTAATTAGAGATGTATTGTGCTATAGGGGGGGGGGGGGGGGGCTACAGCTCGGCGGATCGAGTGTTAGCGATTTCAGGGTTACGATTTACCGAAACACACGAGGTGAGTCTTCTCACTATACCTTACCTTGAGTAGGTAACCAGAGTTATGTGATAGAGTATTTGTATGCTATGTATGTTATGTGTTGTACTGCATTACTTCTATGTGATTGATGCTGTGCATGATTACAGAGTTAGAACCGGAAGGTTCACAGAGTTAGAACCTGAGGGTTCACAGAGTTAGAACCTGAGGGTTCACAGAGTTTGGGTGCACGGACCCACAGAGTTATAGCCTAGAGTGGCAAATATGTGTTATATGTGGTATTTTGGGGAACTCACTAAGCCTTGTGCTTACAGTGTTGATGTTATTTGTTTCAGGTACTAGTGACGACCGCGGGAAGGCGCCGGCTTGATCCGTACACACACGTTTGGAGTTTGACATGTCGATCTTGGGATTTTGTACCGTTTTGTTGAACAATTAAATGGTTGTTTTATGAATATTAATGGAATTATGTTTTATATAAAAATGAAAAATTGGTTTTAAATTTTCGGTGTTACAGATTTAAAGATTGTTTTTTCCTCACGATTCTTTTTTTTTCCACTATGGTTGATTTAAAGATTTATGGTCTGTATTAATAAAAAAAAATTGCAACTAAGTATTTTCTTATTGAAGAATTTGATATCATTAATAAACAAACGAACCATTAGAGACTTTTGTAATGCTCTAACTTGTTCATGGAAAAGAATTCGATATCAGATCCATCCAATTGGAGTCACTACACCAACACCGATCTTGTTGGCTCTTTCATATCCCAATTTTTTCATTCTTTTCATATCTAAAAAACACATTCAATTCATAATTATGATTTGAGCTAACAAGCTGTAATCAAAACAGAAAAAACATCTCTAATGTAAATTGAATGTATTGATATTTGTGTTGCTCTTTGAGGAATTTTTTCAAATAGTTAGTGTTCATAAAACTTGATATAACTTCATCAATGCCACCAACTAAGATTCATCATACAGGTAAAAAGAAAATAGCTTATCAACTTAGCATTAGTTCTAATCTCGCATTCTCCAGTAAAAAACAATAACAATCTTTGACATTTGAACCACAATGTTATTGTAAGCTCTGTTGTATGAGTATTGCATATTAGTTCACAAAGAAAACCATAAAATTGATGTTTGTAGCTAATTGCAAAAGAAATATGGATAAAAGGAAATAAAAAGGCGCAGAGAGGTTAAGAAGAGGATTGTGTTAAGAATTCATCATAACAGGTAAAGGATGCAGAGAGGTTAAGAAGAGGATTGTGTTAAGAATTCATCATAACAGGTAAAGGATACGCTCAATTTGGTCTTCTTCAATTCGTAGTATAATCTTCATCTAATATCAGAGAGAAATCGAAGATTGAGAAATGGCAAGAAGGAGGATTACGGAATTACAATTATCTGCAGTTTATACTCGATTGGGAGAAGGAAAATGGCGATAGGGCAAGAAGGAGGCTAGAAAGTTATGATCGTGAGGAAGACTGCCAGATGCCATTTTAGAGGGTAAGGGTAATATAGTCAATCTAGTTTTTATTTTAGTTTTAATGATTTTAAAATATAAAAAAATAATTATTAAATGTTAAAAACTATTAAAAATATATATTTGGGCAAATCCGATATTTTAAATGCTTAAGAATGGCAAATACGATATTTATAGTTTAGGCTTGGCAAATACGATATTCAGACGTTTACCGAGGGCATATACGAAATTCTCCCTTTTTGTAAAATGCAAATAACTAGGATATTTTATGATATACTAAAAAAGAATTGATTATTTTTTGTGAACGTCCCAAATATTTTAGTTTGTATTCATAGATGAGAAGAAATACGAAAATCCTATAAGAAAAGAATCAAAATGCCAAACCAGCATAAGTTTGAAACTACAAATAGTTATAAAATTCATGAGTGGGTATTGAAAAAGTCTATATGTTATGGACCTTCTTGCAACCTAAATTTTTCACTTAAGACTAAGGGTATGTTTGTTTCGCATAATGTTTTTGAAAGGAATGAAAGTTGTTAAAAGCATTGGAATCTAAATGTACAAGCAACTTAGATAGAATAGATTCGAAAAATAGAACGATTTGAGAGACTTAATTGTAAATTGAGACGATACAACAACTAACAAGAACACTGATGAACCACAAAAAATATGGTGGAACAGCAGCAATGATAAATGTAATTGTTTGGAAAATGCAAATGAAGAGATGTATAATCAAATGAAAATGTAATCGTAGAAAAAATATGAAAATCAAAGAGTGATTTTTTTTTTTTTATTTCAGATAATAAGAGGACAATTGAAACAAAGATAATGAATTGAATCTTGTTGAACGAAAAATTAGAGACCTTTCAAATAAGGAATGAAATTGTTATTATTAAAATTTAATTCCATTCATTCGATAAGCTAAACACGATCAGTTTTAGTTTGCAATTCCTTTTAATTCCATAAGAATCATGCCAAACAAACGTGACCTAAGAATCCAACATCTTTAATTTTAATATTTTTTAAGTTTTTATTGCTTATAAACCATTGGTTAAATCATAGCTAATTCTTATTATTTTAAGATTTTAGCGATACCAGTTAAAAATAGAATCATAGTTATTAAAAAAATTAGTTAATTCAAATTTCTCAATTTTCTCTCCTAATGCATCTAAGCACAAACGATAATTGTTTTTAGGTTATGATCTTATAATATATCATCACGTACAATTAATTTATTGACCATTTGTTAAAAACTAAAATTTTTGAACAAATGTGTTAATTTCAAGAATTAATTTGAATTTGATTATAAAAAATTTAATGGGAAATATTTTAATTTCCAAAAACATGAATTCACTCTCCAGTCTCTCAGTCTCCCCTAATTATATAAAACCTGTTCTTAATTTGACAAATTTCCCCCCTCCATCACGTTTCCAAGAATCCCGTCATTCTAAGAATTGAATTTCTAACTTCATTTAATTCCCTTCCTTTCAATCTCCGGCCATCTCCGGAGCAAGCCATTTCTCCGGCGAATCGCCGCCGACTTACGATCTCATGCGGCGGCACTATCTCTCCTTCCTCTTCGTAGCACTGAAACGACCGTGATCTTCCGGAGAAATTCTCGGGAATATTCACGGGAACCGATTTGTTCTTCATCTTCTCTACAGGTTGTTTCTTTTTCCTCTTGGATTTGTTGAAATCGGAGAATTTCGAGTGTTGGTGAGTGTTGTAAATATTGGTATCATCGAGTCCTTTTATTGAAATTCCGGCAGCATTTGTTTCGAAGAAGAGATCTGATTCTTGGAATTCGTCGGCCATGTGAAGAAGAGAAGGAATCGAACGTGCGGTTTGATTGAATGGGAATGAATGGATGGGGAGCGAATTGGAATTTATAGGGGAAGTGGGAGGGGAATCTGAACCGTGGAGGTTACTCCACTGCTTCTCGTTGTATGAGTTTGAGTGTGGCCCCGGCTTTCTTATAATCTTGTTAAATGAAACTTATTTTTTCCCACTATATAAATTTTTGGGATATTCATAAGAATATTATATGATTATTGAAAATTAAAGTAAATAATTTTATTTTTTATTTACTAAGTAACAACTAAACTAAAAATAAGGTTATTTTCGATTTCGAGTGCGATTTTATTTGTATCAAACACTCACGTAGTTTTAGTTTTGGTTATAAATACGAAGTGTATATATATATATATATATATATATATATATATATATATATATATATATATATATATATATATATATATATATATATATATATATATATATATATATATATACTAGCCCTTACCCGCACCAAACGACGGGTGTGAATGACAAATCTAACTTTGACGTTATTTTTAACATTATACATCAAATAACCGATAAAAATAAACGACAATGTTCTGCGAAGATAGGTGGTTTCTGCTTTTTGGTAGGTTAATTTTTACGGTTAGAGGTTTGATTCGAAAGAAATGAGTAGTTACTTTTCGGTAATGGATAATTATTTTCAGTGAATAGTTTCTTTTCGGCAAGTTATTTTTTTTTAATAGTTTATTTTTAAAAAATGTCATATAATAAACAACATTCATTCCGTCAACGAATATTTTCATTTCAGAGATCTTTTTCTTTGAGAGTTTAGTTTTAGGGTTGGGTTTTGAGGTTTAGGATTTACACTTTGAGGTTTATTGTTTAGAGTTTAAATTACAAAACAAACACAAATATTATGCGAATATCTTCAACAATTTTTATGTTATGGATATCCGATATTATATATATATATATATATATATATATATATATATATATATATATATATATATATATATATATATATATATATATATATATATATATATTATATAGGGAAATCTCCAATAAAATCCTAAAATTTTGGCCGAGTTTACGTTTTAGTCCTAAATTAGTTTTTGTTTACGAAAAAGTCCTAAAAACCGGCAAAAACTTGCATTTTTACCCTTTTTGACCGGTTGGAACCGGTAACAAATTAACTTGGGACTATTTTATAAATTGAACCAAAATATTGGGACTTCTCCGCAAAAAAAATATTAGGACTTTCCTGGAAACAAAAACTTTATTATTATTATTATTATTATTATTATTATTATTATTATTATTATTATTATTATTATTATTATAATATTAAAAATATAAACAAGTGTAATAATTTTTAAATTCGTTATTATTAATATTTTTAATAATACATATAAATACACTTAAATAAATATTAAAGAAATTTTTTAAAGGTGAAAGTGGTGGTGATGGTAATGTTTTAACATTGAAATCATGAATATATGCTTGTATGTTCTCATTTTGTATATGATCATTTGACATTTCTTATTATTGTTTTCATTCAGAATATTAACACTTAACAATTTAAAAGAAGTTGCCTATTTGTAAAATTGTTTATAAATAGTTTAAGATAAAAAATTTCTCACTTTGTATATAAAATCTTTTAAGGTAGAAATATTTATTTTCAAATCCAACAAATCCACTATAAATATTTACATTGGTTACCAGTATCAAATTTCATAAGTATTAATTACAATATCTTATTTAATATAAATTAATATGACTTGTTTTGCTTTATCACATTATATTTGCTATTTTCTCAATAAAACCACATGAATAAAATAATGAAAAAGTGCAAAACACATGTTGGTAATTCAAATACTTACACATAAGACATATACACATAGCACTACTCATTATTTATTAACAATTTGAAAAATCGCTAACTTCTTTTAAATTGTTAATCGTTAATATTTTGAATTAAAAACAATAATAACAAACTTGGAATGACCAAGTTAGAATATACAAATAAACATTCATGATTTCAATGTTTAAAGAATTATCATCCGTTCCACCTTCACCCTTAAACAATGTCTTTAATATTTTTTCATTTAAATGTATATATATCTATTTTTAACAATACTAATAATAACAAATTGGAAAAGTAGTATACTTATTTATATTTTTAATAAAATAATAATAATAGTGATAATAATAATAATAATAATAATAATAATAATAATAATAATAATAATAATAATAATAATAATAAGGTTTTTGTTTGCAGAAAAACCCTAATAATAATAATAATAATAATAATAATAATAATAATAATAAAGTTTTTGTTTGTAAGAAAGTCCTAATATTTTGTTTTTTTGCGGAGAAGTCCTAATATTTTGGGTCAGTTTATGAAATAGTCCAAAATTAATTTGTTACCGGTTTCACCCGGTCAGAATGGGTCAAAATGCAGGCTTTTACCGGTTTTTAGGACTTTTTCGTAAGCAAAAATTAATTTAGGACTAAAACATAATCCGAGTTAAAATTTTAGGACTTTATTGGAGATTTCCCATATATATATATATAATAGGTAACCTTCGTTTGTGAGGGAGGGAATGTTACTGTAGTTAAAAGTACAAGTCTTCATCCACAATATTCAAGGATGGCAATGCATAAATTACATATTTAACAATTCCATTTTATATAATACGTCACTTACAACCCTTTATTTTGTAAATGTTATTTTCATCCTTAACTTTTTCCTAATTTGTAAATACATTTTATACCCCTCTATTTTAAAATGTTACTTTTACTCTTTTAACTTTGAACTCTATAAAATATCATTATTGTCACTTGCATTTTCTAAACTTTTGAGTTTATCCCATATAATATATATAGTTTGATTTTCTTTAATAACTTTTGTTCATTAACTTTAAAAAAATATCTTGCTTTTGTTATGTATGTATCAGTATAAATTAAAGGTAGCCAACGTTTGATTGTATTCCAATTTGAGATCGTTTACGTTTCGATTAATTTTTTTTGTATGTTTTGGTGCTTATTTTTATATACGCTTCTTACATATGAATCAGATCATATATAATACATTTTCTATTATTTGAATTTTTTTCGTTAATTAAAAAAATATACATTGTTACAACAAAAACATATAAAACACCCGCAGCAAAAAGCGAGTTTAAATACTAGTCTGAAACATTATATGTATATTCTAATTAAATACCTAATCATTTTGACAAATGATTTATTTTAAAAAAGTTAAATATTAAATAGCAAACTTATGGTTTGTAGATGCGGGTGAAATAGTTTTCTATCTAGTTTAATTTATTGTTCTGGTTTTTATTTAATCATAGTACAAACTTCAAATTTCTAATTAATAGTATATTTCTAGACTATATATTTAACATAGCTAAAATCTATTTTACTTACATCTATAGTCTCCGAATAATTTATATTTATACATAATAAGAAAAAATCTTATATAAAACTACTTGCAAACATTTTGATTTTTTTTTTCTTTTTTTTTTCTTTTTTTTTTTTTTTTTTTTGAAATATTGGCTATCAATTAAAATAGGAAGTTAGGATAAAGTTTTTTAATAATAAATAAAATACATTTACTTTCATTTATTGTTTGTGACCACCATCATACTTTCAAAAATAATATTATTAAGGTATGTATTATAAATAAATCTAACAAATTAAAACAACAAGATTTCATTCTTTACTTTTTCTAGCATCCATTTTTATTTATTTCTAGTACAAAACTTTTTTAAAGTATAATGTTGTAACTTGAAGAAATGAATGTAAGATGATATAATAGATAAATTAATCAAAGTAAGTTGTTATTGATCAAATATTCCTTAAACTTAACCCAAATAAATATTAGGTGGGCATTTTGGTCACGAAAACACACAAGCACACGTACACACATTCTTTAACTAAAAAATATGTGATCCATAATTTCTTTTTGTACATATTCATTAATATACAAGATAGATAAACAAAACTAATGTAATCATAATTAACATCTTCGCGACCCTCTTAATAATGTTAATTCCCAACATTAGTTATTTGTACAACAAAAACATCATTGACACCTGCAAACAAAAAAAAAACAATGTATTGTTATTTAATTTCATTCTTCTTAGCAAAAGACCATAATACCTTCATTACATAACAATCTTGCACATCATTTTATATGATCCATGCTTTTATAAAAAGTGAGGGAACCAAAAATATAAATTTAGTGTTGAATTCAATTATTAAAACTGTAAATTGCTCTTTTAGATAATATTTTCAGCCATCCTTCCATCATTCCATGAGAACTATAAAGGCATGGACAAACCTATCATTTCAGCCATGGATAATGGAAAGACATTATGCATTCATACTTTAAGTTGCTGACTTCACTTAAAGAAGAAATGTAATATTTTTTACATCAGCAACATCCACCAGAACGTTATTACCATAATAGGCATTATTTAAATACCAAAGAAAAATTAGATTTTAAGTTTTAAGTTTCACACATTAGTGATTAAATACAATAATATTATAAATAATTCATTTGCGGTAACGTTATTACCATAATAGGCGTTATTTAAATACCAAAGAAAAATTAGATTTTAACTTTTAAGTTTCACACATTAGTGATTAAATACAATAGTTATTTGTACAACAAAATGATGCCGATACAATTGAAAAAACATGAAATTTTGAAAATAGACCCTTACAGTATTGGGTTGGGGCTAATTTAGGAGTTTGCGCATGTATGTTGAAGATTGGATCAGTAGCTTCTACATTATTCCCACTTGTTGGCCTGCAAAGAAAACACAATCAAAATCAAGAGAATATCACATTTCATAACAAATTAGATAAAAGTTACTTCCAAGTTCAACCATGAGTGTATCCTAGTAGTCCTTTAATCCATTATGATCTTTATTTTATTTTGGTAAATTGGACCAATCACATGTTCATTCATCTCAACTCAATCAATTAGATAG